ATAGAAGGTCTGGGAATTTTACAGTATGTCTTCACATTGATAAATGACCCTATCTAAGGGGTTTTTGTCTTGAGCAGTATCAGGAGAAAACAAAAAGGAACAAGACATCCCATTTTCAAAGGCATGGAAATGGATGTCCTCCTCCATAGAGTGATGGCTTAGTCAAGAATCCTAGCCCAGAGCTACTTGGCTTCATACTCCTGTTGGAATGCACAGGGAGTTTGCAGTACTCAATAACATTTCCTGTCCACGTAGCTATTCTCACACTTCTGTAACATTTCTGGTGAGACAGGCAGTCTGTATGCAGGAACATGAAGCCCAGGAGCTTCTGTGCCCAGACACTCAGCATAACAAACAATAGGACCCATTTCCTTAAATGAAGGTGGGAGATATGAAATTCTGGTGGAATAAGCACTTTTTTTCACTGATGAAAAACAGATTTTCTTAATCTTTCTCCTCTGTGGTTTCATGTATTTATTGAGACAACAGAACTTGGTTTAGTCCCTTGGCTTGTCAGCCAGAGTCAGCAAAACTAGACAATATTATATTATTTTGTTTTCATGAAAATAGATTAAGATATGTTCCATCCTAATAAGCAGAAATTATTATATTTTAGAAGAAAAATGAATGCTGTAAATTGCATTTCTGTCTGTTTTTTATCTACAGATCACAAATAGGCTAGGAATGTTTAGTACTGCTTTTGAAACCAGGCTGTCTGGACCACAGCAGGTGGGAACAGAGAGTAGATACAGACTACCACAGGGGTATTTGAAAGCAGGGACAGTTGTACTGCACTCAGCAAGCCAGCCCACGGCCTGCTGAGTTGTGATGTCTACTCTGAAAAGCCTGAATTCTGCCCTCTATGCTTTGAAGTCGTTTACAGGAATATTGGTTTATTTTCAGACATTTGAAGTGTGTTGTCATAGTTATGCAGTGAATCATAATCATGCTGCCTAAAAATACATCCCCTGTATTAATGAATGGTAGTTTCAATCTTATATAATGTTACGTAATGCACTTGTACCAACACATCTTTGTAGTCTTTAGGTCTTCAACTAGTTATAGTTAAGCTGCTCAGAGAATGACCTTTTGGATCCTTTTTTTAATTTTTTTTATTTTTTAAAGAAAAATATTAGGATGGGATGCTGTTATAGTATGAAGAGGTCTGTACTATGTTCTGCCTTTGGCAAAACTATATCTTTTTGGTGGCCAAATTAAAATCAAGCATTCACTTGGTTCAGTGAACAGGGACCAGTTCCAAATGCCCATTATGTCATGTAACATTAAATTTATATGAAGTGTGATAGTATCCAAGGTATTATAGCCTCAATTTTGTCATCATCATGTTCCTGTGGAAGACAGAAGGGCTTTAATTACCATTTCAGTTGTAAAGATTCTTGATACTGTACATTTAAAATTTGCTCCAGCAGAACATGCAGATTAAGCACCTCCCATATCCCAAACACCTCCCATATCCCAAGCAATAGTACCTCAGTACCTTTTGACAGTATCTTCAAACTGAGCTAGCCTGCTGTCCTTAAAAACAGTGAATTTTTGGTGACCTCTGTAAAAGCCTTAGAAACAATTACTGTCAAATACTGTAGATATGTTTTAAAATAACTCTTCAACTACTTTACAGCAGTATAAAGAATGAAACAGATGTTGTGTTAGTGTGAGATAGTGTATTTGCACCTGAGGGGAAACTCAGGGATATTTATTTGTCCTTAGAGAAAAACATATTTTACCCGAGTGAAAACATACTAAGAATCAGGAGGTATCAGCTTTGGTATCCTACATTAGGGACAGACCTTATAGCCAGTAACAAATAGGTGTTTAAATGGATGTCTCTGTTTAGTGGCTTGTCAGGGTGGTTTCCTGGGAGAATCATTATTTCCACTTTGCTGATATGTTTTTATTTCTTCTTGTAGAAACAGGGCCCAGGTTGGTGCTGCCCAGGTTGGCATATCCTTTTCCAAAGGCAGCTGACTCACCTGTCTAGTTTTCCCTTTGAATACTGCTTGTACTTCCCAAATGCTTTGATCTCCCTCAAACAACCTCCCCAAGACTTCAGGCCAGCACTACAAAGAAGAGAATACCATGCTGCGGTACTTCTGATTTTTTTTTATCTATTTTGTTTGTTTGTTTGTTTATGGGGGAGGAAATAATTTGCTTTATGACACAAAAGAGATAAAATAAATAAATAAATAAATCTGGAGCTGCAGGAAGGAATTGAAAGCATTACCATAAAAGGCCACAATCCCTCCTCGCAGATTGACTTTCATAGATTTCCTGTTAGCACTGGAGAATTGGATGCTAAAAACTTCAGGTAGAATTAGTAGATTTTAAAAAGTAGGAAGAAAAGTGCTTGTAAAGTGCTTTTAGGACTGGCTATTCCAAAGAAATTTGGCTCTCAGCTCATTTTGTTCAGGTTCACAAAGCAGTTGATCATTTGTAGAAATGCTCTACCCCATTTGTGAAATATTGAAAATGATGTTACTGGACGTGATGTTCAGAGCCTGACAATCTGAAGTGAAGCATAATAGCGTTTATGTGGCAAGGTTTTTGTAGCAGGCAGGTTGCAGGGGTGGCCTCTGTGAGCAGAGCCCAGCAGCTGCCCTATGTTAGATCAGAGCCAGCTCTAAAGGGACCTGCTGCTGGCCAGAGCTTAGTCAGGGAGCAACGTTGGTTGGTCCTCTGGGAGAGCAGATTTATGACAGGGAAAAACAAACAAACAAGCAAACAAACAAACCTGCTGTGCAACAGCAGCTGGGAGAGAGGAGCAAGAACCAGCCCTTCAGCCCCTAAGGCCAGTGCAGAAGGAGGGCAGGAGGTGCTCCAGGCACGCAGAAGTTCCCCTGTGGCCTGTGGAGAGAGGCTGTCCCCCTGCAGCCCATGGGTCCCACGTGGAGCAGATCTCCATGCTGCAACCTGTGGAGGAGCCCCCAGTGGAGCAGGTGGATGTGGCCTGGAGGAGGCTGTGGCCCATGGAGAGCCTCCACAGGAGCAGGCCTACTTGTGTTTTGCTGTTGGCTATTCTTTAGTTTTATTTTTTACTTCTACGCCCCAACATAAACTTCCTGCCCCTTGCAAGAATGATGCCTGCCATCAGGGTCTTCCTTTTGTCATTACAGCTGCAGTCAGCATGCCATCAAGGACATGCACTATCTCGTATGACAATGCAGAAAAGAGCCAAATGTGCATGAGCCAGAGGTGCACACCATTCTCAGTATGAAAGAAAATATGCCTGGCTATATGCAGAAATCGAAGGGAAGAAGGATTTGGTGCAGAAGGAGGGCTCTGCAATGCAAAATGGGAAGCCTGCTCTAAGTTTTAGAGCTATACTTGAGAGATATCTGCAAGCCCAGCTTGATTAAATCCTGCAGGTTTTAGAATGTCTTATTCCCTGCCCAAATGTAATGATCACAGAAGCTGAGCTCTTAACTCGTGGAAACTGATGTCATTTGTCCCAAACGTTTCATTAGATGTTGAAGCAGTCAGAGGCTGTTTTAACATGTCACCCAGCATGGCTCCTTATTGCAGACCGTGACTGGGTACAGCTGTGCAGTGATCCACCACTACCCCCAGCTACTCACAGGGATTTAATAGTTCAGCCAGTGTGTCTGGGCACACTTGTTATGGGCCGTATGAATTTGATATTTCTCCTCATTGCCTGCTGTGTGACACATTAAGGCAATCAGAGCAGCTTTCTAGAAATTTTTACAGCATGACAAAGTTTTTTGCATCTATTTTTCAGGAAAAAAAAAAAAAGAAAAAAAGAAAAAAAAAAAAAAAAAAGGAACACATTGTCTTATTTAGCCAGACAAGAGCTAGCTTTGTTTCCCTTGGAGAAAAAGCCTAAACCATCATTTTAAATGTTATTGCAAGTGCCATTTTCCTAGACAGTACAGCAGGATGGATGATAGATTTTTTCTAATCTGATTGAGCCCACTGTGCCTTTTTAAATGGCAATGGCTTTGACAGGATGAAAACAAGAAGAAAATATAATATATATAATATATATATATTAATGGAAAAAAGCAAGGCATCTTAAAAGCATCGTTTTTCTGAATTACCAACTCCTCTGCTTTGGGGTTGAAATAGAGATACTGTTGTTACCTGCTGGTGAATCTCACTGAAGTCTTCCCAGAAATACAGATCCTGGTAATGTAGAATAAGCAAACCCAGGAACTTACAACACATAACCCAAGAAGAATACTAGCAATTAGTTTTCTTTTTCACAAACAAAATGTCATAAAATAATTTTTAAAAAATGGCAAAGGAATTAAATTCTTATGTTGTCTCTTTAAAAAAGAGAGTCTGAAAACATGTTGTTAGTGGTATTGAGGAGACGATAAAAATGTATTGCAGCTACTTATTATGGTTACTTTGATACATATCCTTGGTTAGGGACATGGGAAATCAAGAATGCAGACTACTCCTACTCATGCACTAAGCTCCAGTTATCTGTGTATTAGTATTTTTTTCCTATACTGGCTGATGGAGTTGGGTATATGTTATATAAGGTATATTCAGTCTATTCTAGGTATATTTGTTATATAAATAGGGATTTCTCCTGGTTTTATAGTGCCATGCAGAGCTCAGACACTCCAAGAGTTGTCATGGAATGCACTCAGAACATCTCTTCTTTTCTTATGATGCCCAGGGGAGTTAGGCTGATAAATTTATTTAAACTTCTACTGTTGATGTAAAACAAAAAGAAACTAGTGTCTTTTGGGGAACTCCTTGTGATTGCGACACAGGAATCGTTAGGAATATTTTATCAGAATAATGTGCAGAATTTGCAGAACTGTGGAGTGGCCCTGAGTGAGAGAGGGGACTTGAAGGAATATCCATACAGCTCTGAGTAAACCTTTCGATCTTATATTTCCTGCTGTGTGTGCACCTCACCTTTTCTGGATGAAAGAAAAAAGGTGAGGTAATGTGAGGGAAGAATTTTTAAGGATACAGATTGACTAATAGCTGGCTCCAGAACTTGCACAAGAAGTTTTGTTGATTTGCAAAAGAACTTTGCCATCACAGAGAGACACACATTATGCGTAAAGATACCCAATTGCTAAGATACATTCAAGTATATGAGACATTGCTGTGGCTTCTGGAATCCAGTACTTTTCCAGGGGTTGCGTAAATTGTACAGCTTTGCCACAAGCATTTGGAAGATTGCTGTGTTTGTGTGTTAAACTTCTTCAGAATGTGAGAGAAGCTCTTCATCTCCATGGATTATTTTGTCCCTGATGAATGTTTGGGGCTGCAGTTGGTAAGAGTTGATATTTATTGTTGTTACAGAAGTAAGTATGAATTTAAAATGTAAATCTCTGTGCTTGCTAGTTGGGGGTCGTATGGTCACATTTAATTGGTTTGGGTAGATTGTTTGCTCTGTGTATTTCAATCATTTTGACATTGCTGTGGCCTTCTTACAAACAACTAGGGAGCTACAAATGATTAAACAAATTCTGAACTGTCTCAGATATACATACAAGTGGAGACTTCAGAGCAGAGCAGTCAGACCTGCAGGCGGCAAAGCAAGCCATTAAGAAGCAAAGCAATACCCGGTACCAAAGTACAGAATTTAAACTACATTGCAAGCAGAGCTTCATTGTCAGTGCTATCTTCTGCTTGCCTCGCCCCTCTTGTTTCCCTTTTCCTTTCTCCCCTTTGCCTAAATTATTGGGGTTGCAACTGCAAAGCTTTGCTTCAGGTTCTGCCATGCTACACAACATAGCCCCCAGAGTAAAATGGATGATCTGTGCTTGACAATCAGTCTGACAGGCAAGGCAGCAGCAGGAGAGAAAGTTGAGCCCTGCTCTGACTCCCTCAACCCCCTTTTTATGGGGGCAGCCAACTTGTCAGTAGCAAGCTGATAGATTAGACCAGCCATCTCAAGCAATGTCAGCCAGGAACCCTAGGATTTTATACAGCCAGCTCAGAAACACATCCCAACAAATATCCATTCTGTAGCACCTCTTTATAAGAGCTTCTTAAACAATTTATTCTTTGCAGTCCCTGATTCCCATGCCTTTCTTTTCGGTTTCTGACATGACATCTGCCAATATATACATTCTGTCTGCAGCAGCTTCTGTATACTTCCCATGCCTTTCTTTTCGGTTTCTGACATGACATCTGCCAATATATACATTCTGTCTGCAGCAGCTTCTGTATACTAATGTATGTGCTCCTGGGTGAGAGTTAGATCCTTCAGGTTTCAAAATGCCTTGCAAGAAAAAGGGAGTTACTTTATTTTTTATTTATTTATTTATTTATTTATTTTGTCTTCATTGCTTCTTCAAATTACAGCATAGTTTGCATCTCTGATTTTTTTTTCTTGTTTTCTTTTTTTTTTTTATTAGTTTTCAAGCTCAGTATTCTGGAAACTGCAGCTGAAGAGGAAGCAAGAGAACAATGGATTTCTTCATAGTAATGTTTTCTTTAGTTTAAAACAAATGCTTGTAGATATTCACTGAATGGCACATGGCAGTGGAACAATTTGGGGAGATGGTTTGAAGCACACTAATTCTTAGCCCAAAAACTGTTATTTTCTTTACTGACAGGTCCAGACTTCAGATGTATCTGTCATTGGGAAAAGAGATGTTATTTCTGGCCTGTGTCAAAGAATGGAGTTCCATCAAAGTTCACAAAGAAAACTTTTAAAGGACGGATGACAAACACAAGGGATTAATATGTACAGAGTCAACCTGCACAATTTGTCATCCCAATCAACTTGACTGACTAAATTAAATTCTTGTTGCCTGACAAATTAGCATCAACTCCCAGTACCGTGCAAAGATCAAAATGATTCTTTATAAGTTCCTAGTGTCATTCTAATTCAGCTAATAGTCACAAATTTGCTTCCCTGATCTTTCCAAAGTTGCAGTTTTGTTTTTGTGTGATTTTTTTTTTTCCAGCAAGAGTATATAGAGTTGTTAGGCACCTTACATTGATGTCACAGGGAAAACATCTGTAGGATTCTGAATCTGAGTCATTTAGCAAGAACTGAAAAGTGAGTTAAAGAAACATTTACCATCTGACATGGGGTGTTTTTAAGTGGGTTTTATTTTTTTATTTTTTCTCCATTTGATAGCTTCCTAAGACTACTATCTCCTAAGATTGCTCCTCCTATTCTGTGAGGGGCAATAAGATGAAAATAACTTTTGCTCTTTTATAAAGCTCTTATATGGCTGCCAGGATAAAAAGAAGCCCAAATATTCTATCACTTTTTATTTTCTGGACCATCTATGAGAAAATGCAGCTACTTTAAGCTATAATAATTTCACTCAAACCTGTAATAAAGAAAGTGGGCAGCATTTTCTGTTACTCTTCCAGGTCAGTTTTCATGGTGATATCCCTGTTTGCCAAACTGAAGAGATCCTCACATAATTTTCTTGAGATGCCTGGTGGAACAATTTGCTGAGCAGCGTGCTTGAATTGCTGTACATTTTAGTGGCATAATCACAGTTGTGGGCTGAAATCTTTCCGTGACATGCCTCTCTGTACTCCTCCCTGTGGAGCAGGTCCTATTGGTATATGCAAGAGGTGATACCCATCACACTTCAGTGAGCTCAGAATAGCAAGTGGAAATAGATCGTTGCTAATGTGTGTCTTTTGCTCTGGGTAGCACTGTCTGGGGTATTTGCTATGGCCCTGGCATTGCAACTCGATCCACAGAATGTCTGACTGAGCAAGTTGCCTCACAGTTCACTTAAACGATTGCTTTCTCTCCAGAGGGTTTATTTTCACATTATAAATAATTAAACTGTGTAATTCGTTGTCACAGGATATTGTGGAGGCCAAAATGGGTTCACATCCTTCAGCATCTGTTAAAGACAATCATTTGGATGCAATCTCTGATGTAGAAAGTACACTGTCAGAGCTGTATGGGAAGTATCAGGGGAACCTTTACCCTATGCATGCCTTTTTTCCTAAGCATCAGTTACAAGCCACTTTTCATGACAGGCTGTTGAGCTGAATGGATCTCTGGTATTAGTCAGTTTGGCCAATTTTATGTTCTTATTATGGTAGAATCAGGCTTAACTGCATTTGACAGTACTTATCCCCCTAAATAGTCTTACTGACATCAGACAGAGTTTACATTTACTACCAATTGCATTTTACGGGTTGCAAGATCTATGTGTAGTGAAAAGGATTAAAGCTTGTATGAGCTTCAGTGGGATTTCTTGGCATACATCAATATATTTCAAACACGGCATTTGATCATGTTTTTTTTTTTCTTTTTTCTTTTTTTTCTTTTTTTTTTTTTTTTTTCTGAGTTTCTAGTTTCCTCTCTTAGTTGCCATCGCCATGGAAAAAAAAAATGTTTTAGAGATCTCTCCACCACCACCAGATGAAAAGGGCTCCATTGTGATTCAAAGCAGCAGTCTGGCAGTCAAAGGTTTGAGCTGAAATCCTGACTGCTCAGTTGCTGAAGTCAAAGAGAAAATGATGATTAATTTCTGCAAACTCATCATTTCACGACTGCTTTCAAGTCCCAGTTATCCCACTGGTCTATTATATTTGATCTTGGTAACAAGGGGTTCAGTGTCTAGGAGTCACTTAAATTCACTGTGCTTAAGCTTCCCTTTTTGCTAAGGATGGTTACAAATGCTGCCTTGTTAACATATTTGTGAGTGAAAGTTGATATTCGTTATGCAGAAAGTACAACACAATCCCATGGAGGAGTGTTCAGTCGGGTATAACATGTGCTTACATCAGGCCTCATAAGAATTTTGTTTATATTAGTTGGCCTGTGAGAAATTCCTGTTCCCAGCTGTGGGTGTATTTCCTGACCACAGATCTGTGCCCTTTTTCTCTTCCTCTTTCTCTTCTTTTTCCCCCTTTTTCCTCAGAAAGGAAACCTAGTCACGGGGGCCATGTGGGAGCTTCAGTGTGCTCCAGTATTTTCCCTAGTACAGCTGATAAGGGGACACACATTATTAATAGCTGGTGCTTACCCTAATCGCTGTTCCTAGACTGCCTACAATCATGATTTATTAGACCTTGGTACCCTGGTTTGAGCAGAAAGGGTCATAGCACATAATCTGTCTGCACATAGCTGGGGACTGTCACCATGCACTGATAATGCAGTGGACAAAATACAATGTGTTAGTCATCTAAATTGAATAGCAATGCATGACAGCACATCTCATAGTACTCAGGTCTAAGATCAAACCCATTTTACTGTGAATCAACTCCTGAAAAACACAGCTATAAAAATGTAGATTAAAAGGTAAAGATGATCTTAAAGTGGGCATTTATCTAATTCTGATGACAAGAAAAGAAGGGAGAATGCTGGTCAGTGCTCATTATTCTGAAGAAAAAAGTTGCTGCGCATTATTTCACCTTGGCAAATTGTGCCTGAGAGGAAGCTAGAACAGACCAAGCTCTGTAAGACAAAAAGAGGAATAGTCAAGGAAGGAAATAATAATCATGGAGAAGGTCTCATTTACTACTTTGTTTTTATGTGTGTATTGTTCTAAATCTTAAGATGTTGCTATATTTAACAGACTGTTTACAATTCCTGCAGCCTATCCTCCAAGTTTAGGACATATAACCAACTTATCCACTAGCATGAAATGCTCTGTGGGAATCTCTTCCTGTCTGGTATGTAGGTCAACAGGACAAAAGCAACACAGGTATACAAGGAACTCTTCTATTCAGCAATGAATCAAAAAATAAATAAATAAAAGTTAAGGGTTTTCTTTCTTTATTTTTTTTTCATTGTGGGAACATAACTGAGTTAACACAGAGCCTTTCCTTTTGTCATTCTTGCCCATATTCTTCACAGCTAGCCTCTAATCCTCCTTTGATCTTCCCACTATTTATTGCAAGTCATCCACAGAGCTCTGTGATTTACAAAGTTTCTAGGGCTTATTTTCAGTGAAGGACCGTCTCCAAGGCTATGGGTAGAAAACCTCTTTCAAAAATGAGACAGAATGCAACTCTGATGCATTCTTGCTTCTGAGAACCAAGAAAAAAATATGTTTTCCCACTTCTTAATAAAGCGGCAAGGTTCTTCTCTTTTCCAGCCTTTTCTTAAACAAAAGAGGCAGATGAAGGACCTGATTATTGATTATGTAATATATGCATTTTCTGAGGCAACAAGAGGTCAAAGAGCACTTTTGGGCAACTTCTGTCAAGAAATAATCTGAAAAAAAGTGATGAAAACATGAGGATAAGTAAGCTTTAAAACTAACTTTGTTGCCCTTGGCTGCTCAGTGATGGAAACATCAGACAGGTTTTTATCTTTGCACCATTACCTGCTAGGAAACCTTTGGTATATTTGCAGTCACCAGCCCCTAAGATCTTTAATAATGTGACAGATTGACAGGTCCAGTTGCAGTGGAAGCTCATGCAGTTCTGCACAGTACCAGCTGCATGACTGTGCTTTCAGGCTGACAGCATCAGTCTTACCTGACAATCTCTCTGTTAACTTCCCTGCCAAATAACATTTCAAGTAATAACTTTAAAATAATATGGTCTCTGAGTGAAATGGTCACCTCTAAAGGGGCTTAAAGAACCAGTGACTTGTCCAAGAACAAAATTTAGATTCTGGGCATTTCATTATAAGGATAGGGTCTGCGAGTATAGGATCTGACAATCATATTTACTGTGCTGTGTGCTGCAATTTTATTGTTATAGTTCAGGCAGATACACTGTGGAGGTACCTGAAAAGGCACAATTTGCATATCGAAAAGATACAATTTGCATGTTTATGAGGAGGTTTTTTATTGTAATGACATGGATAACGTCTTAACTCTTTATATTATCAGAAATAAAAAGGGAATGTGTCACAAGAGTATCTTCAGAAAGAAGATTAGACAGAAAGAGGACATAAGTCTCAGCAGAAAATAGCATAGAGAATCGCACAGCACCATGTACAATTGATCGATTTCTGATGCTCTAGTTCACCTGAACTTAAGAAAAAAAAGAAAAAGCAAAAGTGATTGAGAGGAAATATATGCTTGCCCCGACTAAAATGAAGGAATTAGAAGGCTACTAACAAGTACAGCAACAATATTTATTTGAGCCCAAAATTAACATAAGGTATCGGTAGAATATGTAACCCAGTGCCCTGCAAAGTTTCACATTCTCCATCTCAGTAGCTTCTCTGGGTTAACTAATTAGCACAAAGGTCATTATTCTAATTTTTCCAGTATCAACAGAACATTAAAGCAGCACATTTCTGATTATGTTGTTAGATGAAGGATGCTGCAGTTGAGCTGAAGTTTCAGTTTCAAACAGACTATTGCTGAAGCCCATTAAATTTAGCAAGGGAATAAACTAGTGTCTAACAACTTTTTTTTTATTTATTTTTTTTTCTGAAAAGAGAAAAAAATAGCCATTATGAAAGCACGAAAGCACACAGTGAAGAAGAAATGGAAATGGGGATAACCTTTATGCTTTAATCAAAGCTGCATCTGCAAAATTCCATAGCTTAATGATATTAGTCAAAATGCCAAATCCTAAAACAATAAAATGCCTCTGGATGCAAAACAGCCGTACAGGTAGGTAAGTGGGTGCGTTGTAGTGGGGTCTGTATGACCACACTGCTCTAGCCACCTAGCTTAATTGGGAATGTGCCATATTGGATAGTGCTAGTAGGAAAACTATATTTGCTTAATTTCTGCTTTCTTTAAATCTATAACAGAGTTAGTACAAGCACTCAACAGTGCAGGGGGTTGCTTGAGAAAAATTGTGAATCTTTCTGTGAGGTTTCTACTGATTGCTTTCATTTGCACCAGAAATATGTGAAAAAAGAACAATATTTTTTCTTGAAAGATTGATGGCCTTTCTTTAGATTTTGGCAAGGATAAAGCAGTTCTGATATTAAAGAGAAGAAATAATGTTTTTCTATGTCACTTGAGTTTTGGCTTGAATACTGCTGGAAGGCTAATATGATTCTTATTTTAAATAAATAATTTCTCCATGTCCTCTAAGTAATTGATTTCTAAGGCTTCAAGGGATCATTCTATTCACCTCATTTGATTTCCCATTAACACCATATAATGCAGACTTTCAGTTCCAGGAATTATTGCATCAAACACAATTTTTGATTGAGCTGAAACATACCTCCCAAACTGACATTACAAGTAAACATACAATCTAAAGAATTCATATGAGGAAAGTTGATGCTCTGTATCTGATTCTATTGCATTGAAATGGCTAAAGACAATTTCAGATTTGATTGAACTAGACAAAGTAGAGGTGAACAAATTAGTGTGACCCTATGACTTTAGGGTTCTCTAGATCTCTGTTGTCAGGAGGAGAGATAAGTGTCAGAAACAAGTCAAGAAAGTTCTACAGTTAATTTTGTGACCAAGTTGCTGGATACACTGGCTGAGAGAGGTGCTCTGCTAGATCAGTTACTCATGAATAGGAAGGAGCTTGCTGGGGATATGAAAAGCAATGGTAGCCTTGGTTGTAGTGACCATGAGATAATAGAGCTGAGGAACATGAGGAAAACAGCTATCAAAATAATGACCATGGACTACAAGAGAGTGAACCTTGGTTTGTTCTGGAAACTGATAGTCATGGGAGGCTGCCATGGAGCTTAAAGGGGCCAAGGATTGCTGGTTGATCTTCAAGAACAACCTTCTCAAAGCACAAGAGCACTCCATCCTGATGTGCAGCCAGTTGAGCAGAAGACCAGCCAAAGTGAAAGGGTACCTCCTGGCTAAGCTGACCAGGCAGACGAGGATGATACAAGGAAAGTCAAATCTCAACTGCAGCTGAGAATGTGATGCACAACTAGAAAGGTCCGACTGATACTTCAGCAACAGAGGAAAAACATGGAAATTGAGGTCTAGTACTGAATGGGGTGTATGAGGAACATGACAAAGGTGGAGATACTCAGTGTTTTATTTGCCTCTGTTCTGGAAATTAATTCTTAGTTAGTCTGTATGGTTAGCCATGGTGGAAGACTGAGCAAACTGAACACAAACAACTCCCTGGAGATGGACAGGTTGAAACTCAGGTTTTGTCAATATTACTGTGAGGCCCATTTATAATGTTCTTCAAAGTGTTTGGCAATCAGAGGGGCTTTCTGAAGTCTGTCCACCTTCAGGAAAAGAGTAAAAAACAGGACAGTAATGACAGGAGGGTCAGCCTCAACTCAGTCACTGTGACAATTATGGGGACAGTCTTCATGGAAGCTATTTCCATGCAAAAGAACAAAAAATTGTTCAGGAAGCAGTCAACGTAGATTTTCCTAG